TATTAAGAGCTTGTTTGAGAGTTTGATTATTTTTCAAATAATTTTTCGTATTAAAATAAATAAAACATAAAATATTTTTAAAAACATATTAATTTTAATACTAAAAAAAATTAAAATAATTTAAAAAATAAAATTTTTTAAAATCTTTTCTAAATACTTTTAAAATATAGAAACAAGTAGGCCCTAAATACTACTTTAATCCTTGATATGGGATTTATGACATGCCTAGTTTTAATAAAGGTAATAAGGAAAGAATTGATTTGATATTATTCGATTAAAAACCCGTGAATGATTTTTGTTACCTAATCATCTGGGAAAAATCTAATCTAAACCCATTATTTTTTTCTTAACATTACATCACTTTACTTTTTTAATAAAATAAAAAAATCAGATTAATTCAGTTAACTCACCTAATAAGTTACCTAGAAGTTGCCCTGAATGAACCCGGGGTGGGTAGAGGTGTATATATCAAATATTCAACATTCCTATCCTCGGACGCAAGTGAACGCGACTCTTGAATATCATAATGTTCAACGGCTCACTCATGGTATCCGCGACCAGAACCAGCTTTAAAGAGACCTTAATTTGTGAGGTTTTGAAAGCCGTCAAGATTGAAGTTCAAATATCTGCACGAGTGGAAGTCAGTCCATCGCCTTTGAGTTTCAACATCTAGTGTCCTTGTTCTTGCTAGTCGAGGTCATTTCAAGACAGGAGTAGAAAATCATAATTTTATGTTCAAATCCAAATACATGAAGTTGCACATGATAGCAGCAACTTTTAAGCTTCATAACAAATTCCTTCCAAGCTGCCAATTTGGCAGAAGAGCCATTTCCATGGGTGTATCTGTCATTCTCCATCAGCAAATATAATAATAATAATAATAGTAATAATAATGAATCGTTGATTTTATTGATGCCAAAAGCAAATATGGGTTCAATAGGCAGCTCATCCCCTTCCCTCGAAGGAATGCAAGTTGAAGGTTCCCTACTGAACTCATCTGGAGAAAGAACATACAGAGCACAACATCATATAACATTTTTGGCTTACCAAAAATTGTATTCTAAGGAAGTTGAGGGAGGAGAGAACATGGAGTTGAGACCAACGTAAAATAGCAGAGCTAACACTGCTGTCAGTAAGTACTCCATGGCATAAGTTGGCACAACCAATCCCCCCAGTAAAAAGCAGAATCCAACTTACAACTAGGCTTACTCATCTTCTGATTTTCTCAATGCAAAAGAGTAGCAGCTAAAGCAATGCCATATGGCCACTGGTTGCAATTAAAAAGGAGGCTGAAAATGATGAATCCAAGAAAATGAAAGTAGCTGCAACGGCTGTAATGGAGGCTACAATACCATAAACTTCAGAGGATCTGGGGCTATGATATCCAGACACACCAAACCCAGAAGCGGGTTTTTCATCAGGATCAATAAAGGATACAGTTGCCTTGCCTTCCTCCTCTTTGAAAAACTAAAGCACCTCATATCCACTCCCAGGGAAACTCATTGAATCCAGATCTTCCTTGTCTTGCATTTTAAAAGGATCCACAGACCAGCACTGCTAGTCGATCTTTATGAACAATGGGCTCATATTGTTTCCTGGGCTTTCTAAACTGGTGAGAAATGAAAACCCGACCCAACCTGCGCCGTATACTTCGGGAGAGAAAGACAGAGTCTTGAAGGGGTTTTGACTTTTGACTTTTGAGTAATAGGGTTTAGTCTTGGGAAGTTGGAGGGAGGGATCGATTTGATCTTGCATCTCAAGCCCTTATCGTTCCAGTCGGTGGTCTAAAGGCAGGTAAAATTTATTATTATCATTTCATTTATGTGAAATTATTGGCTTGCATGACTGTTTGCTTGAATGAATAACTTGAGTAGGAGGGTTGTTGGCTAATGGTGTTTTGTAAGAATCCCAGTTTAGCCTTCTTTTATTTTCATTTCTAGATTTTCTTGAATGAATAACTTGACGGGGAGGAATGGAGTTTATATTTTGGATTCATGAACATTGTCTGTGCTCCATGTTTCCTTGGCATCACTCACATGAATTTTATTGAATACCGGTAATTTCAAGGTCGTAATGTTGTAGTTAATACTTTAATTAGAATAAAAAAACAATAGTTTTTTTTTTTTTTTTTTAATTTTCATTTCAATCACGGTTTAAATTTTAAAAAGCTGCGTAGGTATAAACAAACAATCTTGCTGGATACGTCCCTCATTGCCCACTTGTGGCTGTGGACATATTTTTTTCCCTTCACCTACTCGTGGTCCTTATTTTTTCCTCTTGTAAATAATGTTTCTTTTATTACTATTATCTTACCATTTTAATGATTTTGTGTTGTGATATTCAAATAATCCCAAATATTTTTTGTGCTAAATTGACCTCTTGTTGCTTTTGAGGTATAAAGCAGACAACTATGTGTATTGGCTTTAGGAAAGCTAGTTAGTGTTAAGAGAAGGAAACTTGCAGACTTTATTTGAAAAAGTGGATTGGCATGAACATTCCTGAAAGAATTGCAGTCAGATTGCCACAGCTGGTCTTCCCCTCCTCCGAGGTGCTCTATAAACAAAATCGTCAGTCCCCCTCCTTCCTTTTCTCTCCACACACACACACACACACAAACACACACACAAACACACACACACACATGGATGCTTCTTCTTTTCTTTTGTCTATAAAGGATCTGTAAGTTACTATATAACTGTTTTATTAGTTGCTAAGAAAATGAAGCATAAGTAAAGGTTGAACTATTGCTTTTTGTTAACGCCACACCACGTTCAGAAGCATCGCTTATCTATCTGAGCCATTTATTTATCAATTTCACTTAAGAAACTCCCTTTTCTACTGATTTTCTCTTTATATCTAGGTGTCCCAAAGTTGGGGTTTGTGCCATTTCTAACACATAAAAGGCATTTAGGGCTGGGGCTGGGGCTGGGGTTTTCAAAGAAAATGAGTTCGAGCATGGAGAATTGCCATGTTGATGTTCAAAATAAGTTGGAGGTGGTTCGGCCTGCCACGGAAGTTTATGCCCAAGAAGCAATTGAAGCTCTCAAAGCTGGGAAGGTGATTGCAGTACCCACGGATACACTGTATGGATTTGCTTGTGATGCTTGGTATGGAAATTTTGATTCATTTCGTTTTACTATTTGTGTTTAATTCCTCTAAATTATGATTTCTTGATAGTGAAATGTCCAAGAAAATTTAAGTGTTATTTTCTTTTTCCTGTTTCATTGTGCACTGGACCCGAAGAATTGAACTTCAAAAAAAATGACAGCATGAAAGAAGGGAATCTGGGCATGCTATTCTAAAAAAAACAAACAAATAATCTAGAAAGTAAAGAAGATTTTGAGAAGGATGGAGAATTTGCTAAGAAATAGTTGATGGGTTTGTAGCTAATTGCTTCTGCAGATTTTTTAAATCGGGCCTTTATAAGTTTGCCTTCCCTTTATTGCTCTCATGGTTGTGCCCAGTGTCGTGTTTGATTGTTTAATAAGATAAAATGGTCGCGCTGTCGGCAATTACTGAACCTAGATTTTCCTGTCAATAGATGCCTCTTATTGAACTCTGATGGAGCTTGGTATCATATTCTAGATCACTCTTAAGCAAGGCATCTATTGCAGTTTTTCTTTCTGTTACTTTTGAGTGCACTTCTTTCCCAGTTTTAAAGGGAGTGATGATGCTAACATGTAAGGATATCATTGTAAATTTTTCATGGTCTCCTTCGCTTTGCACGTTTCACAATATTTGGGCAAGTCTGAAATCACCATATATTTGATAATCTGCTGTTTTCTCTTATGGCAGTTCTTTGGAAGCAGTCAATAGGATTTATGAAATGAAAGGACGTAACCATACAAGTCCTCTTGCAATCTGTGTTGGGGATGTGTCACAAATACAACACTTCGCGGTCACTGAAAATCTGCCTCATGGCTTACTTGATTCTCTACTTCCGGGGCCTGTTACTGTTATATTGAGGCGAGGTCTGTAGTCATTTCTTCTTACATGTGTAACAGGAAAAAAAATTGTTGTATTTTAGGATTAGGTTTTGTTTCATAACTAACTAAATAATCATGCAAACTGATGATCTTGTTATCCTAGATCCTTGTATCTATGTTATAAATTCTTGGTATGTAACTTTTAGTGTCTCAAGTCTTCATGCTTTAGAAGTATATGACTGGGTATTTTCCAGGGGAGTCGAGCGCACTTGAGAAATCCTTGAACCCAGGATTGGATAGTGTGGGAGTCCGTGTACCAGATTGTAACTTCATCAGGGTAGTTGCTCGTGGTTTGGGAAAGGCCGTTGCCCTCACAAGCGCAAACCTTAGTGGGCAGCCCAGTAGCCTCTGCATCAAGGATTTTGAGAACCTCTGGGACCGTTGTGCATATGTTTATGACGGTGGTGTACTTCCATCCAATCGTGCAGGATCAACAATTGTGGACCTCACCAGGCCAGGAAAGTACAAGATTCTTAGACCTGGAAGGTAAATTTCAATTAACTTTCATCGTGTAAATGAATAAAAAATATAAGAGAGATCATAGATTGTTATAAGCTGTTCAGGTCAAAATTTCAAAGAAAATTGCCATTATGTGCGACGTTGATAGTTGCAATGCTGTGAAGGTACACTAAACCTTGGAATTGAGATGATTTATAAAATCAGATGAACCCTTAAGACATTTTCCCTGGACTTACAATCTCAATATTGGCATATATTTCAGTCGCATAGATGGCTCATTTTTTGCTGTAAAGAAACATGAAACCAGCAATTTGCATCTATCAGTTTTGATTTGTGGATTTTTATACGACAACTGAGTTGATCATAGACCATTGTCTGAGCTAGATTTGGATTTATGAAGAATTTAATTGAATCCATATTGAAATATTGCTCATAGAAAATTTCTTTCATACTTTTCTGGGTGTGCATGTTGGCAGTGACTGCAGACACCAAACTAGAATTATCTAAAAAAGAAATTCTCCTGTCGAACTTTGTTTATCCCCTTCGATCATGAAGTCTTGTAATGTGGATGCAGATGGTCCTTTTACTTTCATCTTCCTTTATTTTTTTGGTGATGCTGTCGTAACTATGCTACTTTTTTCTTGTTTTTTCAGCGCTAAGGAAGAGACTCTGGCAATCCTTGAAAAACATTCTCTAGTCGAGGAAGCTCCGGCGATTTGAAGAAAACATTTGAAACCAACTATTGTGTTGTGGAATATCATCATCGAGAGATTCTTTTAAAAAATATCTTTAGGATTTGGGGGTGGGGGATCCTGGGTTTTGAACCTGGTTCTCTCACTCACAGAAAATGATCATATGATCAAGTCAATGTATGGCATGAATTAGTAACACTAGCTTAGAGTTTTTGCTAGTCAAATATAAACAGAAATATTGTTGACTGGTTTTTGGTTCCTTTTGATGCCTAAAAACAACACCCCTGGGTGTTTTTAGCCTTTTCTAACAGTCGACCATGTAAAATGAATACTGAGAAAAACTTCAATCTTGTTAAACAGATATACGGGGGAGAGGGGGGGGGGGTTTCTGGTTTTTACGGGGGGGAGGAGGGGGGGGTGTATTTGGTATTGGAGAGCTGTGAATCTGCTTCTCTTGATATTGTTCTTCAAAGTATTTTTTCTTTCTTTCTATGTTTCCCCCAACACATGAACCATTCATTCAGACTTGAGAATTTGCAGCTACAGAGGCCTGCATTTGTGTGTTATGAAAATGTGTGGTGCCTGGCATGTCCAGGACTAGATTTTTTGCTGCCAAGTGCCGCTGCTTGTTAGGAGAGGAGGGTAGAGCAGGGCAGGGAAGGTGATCAATTTGTTAATTAGGCTGTCAACTTGATATATAAATCATATAATATTTTCTTTGACATTGGAAGGGCCGAGCCCATTGTTAAACCTAAAAGCCCTTGGCGCTTTAACAGCAGCGACTTGTGTCTTTCTTCTCTAGTATTCGTTTAGGAAGCAGAAGAGAAGCAGAAGAGAAGCAGGTCTTTCTCTCAAGTTTCTCCTGTACCGCGAAGTCTGCACCTCTCTGTTTCTCAAAAACCCCGACTTAATTATCATTCATAGTTGGCAGCAGAGCAGCAATTAGGAAAGAGCTTTTCTTTATTTGTCTGGCTTCTGAAGCAAAAACCCAGTACAATAACGCAAAAGCAAGCTTTGTTTCCCTTTGTTCAAGCTGCTTCTGGCTCGTACTACAGCCATACTACTTCTAATTCTTTTCTTTATCATTAGTTAACCTAATAAGAGTTTGTTTTAAGCTAATAATAACTGTAGGTGTATTTTTTTCTTCTGTTTTAATTTTAAGATGGATGGGCACGCAAAGTTATGGTATAAATTTTTGTTTTGTAGGATAGCTTGATATCAAGTTTTGTTTTGCATTGAAATTTAATGAAATTTCGGCAAAAAAACAAGTTGTAGTTGAGTACAAGTCTATGCTCTTCAGTTTGCCTTAACATGTTTAATATCCGATTTGCAGCTTGGAGATTACGTGAGGTTTAAAGATCGATTAACTTAATTAATGTGTTTGTGATATCCTGGAGATTATGTAAAGAACCCATGGATTTGATTATATGTGACTGTGACGTGATTTGGAGTACGTTGCTTCTGTGATCCGAAACATTGTATTTGCTATTCACCAAGTCATGGAAACCCATTCCTTTCTGCAATATCTTTTATCAGGTTAATAGTATTTGGCAGAACAAGTCTTCTTACTTAGGAGCAGCAGCTGTACATATTCCTAACTGTTACCCCCGGCATTTCCTCGTCGTGAGACCTTTTGTTATTAAGTCTTACTCTTTAGTTTCTGTAATAAGGAATTGTTTAGATGTTCATTTTGTTAGTGTGAACAAGGAGTTTATTTGGACAATTTTTTGTATCTGTCCAGGTTTAAGGCTTAGTGCAGCCAATGTGATCTTTACGTACACCTTGTTCTATGTGCCAGAAACTTGCTCTATTTTTGGGTGTGACAATAACTGTCATGTGCGAGTGACATGCATAATAAAGACTGTTGAAAGGCAGAACATAATAAGAAATACAGAAGCTCAAGAAAAGTGGAATGATGGAGGAGCAAGTAAGATTACTAGAAGGGCCGTGGGGGGATGTGAGGGAGCTAAGCCTAGGAAACAGAATACAACGGCTAGACTCGGCTCCAACCCCACTCGAATTCCTAAGAGACTATGTATCCCCTAACAAACCTTGCATCATCTCCAATGCTATCTCCCACTGGCCTGCTCTCAGCCTCTGGCCTAACCTTTCTTACCTTTCTTCCTTCCTTTCTGATTCCATTGTCTCCCTTCACCTTACCCCTGATGGGCGCGCTGATTCCCTTGTTCCCCTAGAAACCCCTAAAAAAGGAGAAACATGCTTTGCCTCTGCTCACGTGGAGCATGTTCCTTTCCCTTGCGCTCTAGATCTTGTTCTGAATTCTGAAACAAAAAATGTGGTGGGATACCTGCAGCAGCAGAATGACTGTTTTCGGGAGGAATACTCGGTGTTGGCTTCTGACTGTGATGCGCACATCCCGTGGGGTACTGAGGCACTGGGAGGCTGCCTTCCGGAGGCGGTGAATCTGTGGATTGGAAACCATTCATCTGAGACGTCATTCCACAAGGACCATTACGAGAATCTGTATGCTGTTGTTTCAGGGGAGAAGCAATTCTTGCTACTTCCTCCTACAGACGTTCATCGCATGTACATTCAAGAGTATCCAGCTGCTCAATATTCTTATTCCAGTGGCTCTGGAGAGTTCAGATTGGAGTTGGAGAAGCCGCAGAGATATGTGCCTTGGTGCAGCGTGAATCCTTACCCGCCTCCAGAGACTAAGGAGAATGAGATGTCCAAATTTCCTTTGTATTTCAATGGTCCGAAGCCCTTTCATTGTACTGTCAAGGCTGGAGAGATTCTCTACCTGTAAGAAAGATTTGCATTTACTTGTTCGATTTGCTTCACACACATTACTTTGTATGTGGATTTGCATGGATAGCACTGCTCAAAAGCATTTAACTTTGAAATACAGTTCATACAAGTGAATGTTTTTGGTGAGTTTTAGACGGATATGCAGCAAGGCTGGACTATTCTGCTGAATAATAAACAAATTATAATATCGAGGCTAATTTTGTGAAGTTGATGCAGGCCAAGTATGTGGTTTCATCATGTTCGACAGAGTCCAGATGACAATGGACGCACCATTGCCATAAACTACTGTAAGAATCTAGTACTTTTTTTTTTATTTAAAAAAAACACTTCACACGATTGTTGAATGCTAACGCATAGATATGTGGCAGGCTATGATATGCAGTTTGACATCAAGTATGCTTATTTCAATTTCCTGCAATCAATTCATCATGGGTCGACGTTGATGAATTATGACGCAACCAAGTTCACCTTAAGTGATGAATTATGTATTGATGCTAATGAATTGGAAGCAGAGGAAGCCAATCAAGAAGATACTAAAGACTAATGAGCTTTGATTTTTTAATGTGGTGGTTGGTCTGGTTATCCAATTCATTTGCGAACTCTTCAAGCAGAATATGCAAAGAAAATCACAACAGAAGACATTTGCACTGTCTCTGTCACATCTTAACATGGTCACAATTGATTCATGCAACTTTGATTCTTGTTGGCTGCTGATTATTTTCTGGTGTTTTTATCTTACAAGCTGAAACAAAGAAGATATATAAACATTGAAAACTAAACAATCACAATCTTCTTTTTCTTTGATGCCAAGAATTCTTCCTTGTCCAGGAACAATTGTGATTACAAAAAACCATGTACACTAACTTGTCAAAAATTGATGAGAATGTGGTAAACAAACAAAAGAATAACGACATTCTGCAGAAGAAATCACTCAGTCACCTCACTCACCCCTTTAAAGCAAAACAAACTGTATATAAACAAATAAATTAATAAATGAAAAAAATGAACTCAAAGGCACGCTTAGGCTGTTTCTGTCTGTGTTTCCTGCAATAAAAAATGGAAATCAGATCTTTGTCGGAGTAGCGGTGGAGGATCCATGTTGGATAAGTGGATTGCACTCAAGGATCCGAATATCTCTTCCATTGAAAAAGGTATGCTGAAACCAAACCAATTGATTGTTATTTACATTATTACTTTTCCTTCTTTCTTCTTCTTGCAGTGCTGGTGGAAAATTAGCAGTGATAAGAAAAGAAAAGAAAACATTGCTGGTCTTAGTACTTATCATACCTTGAATCAACATCAAGTAAGAATGTATTATTAGGCATGCTTATTGAATCTTCTGCCATTAGGGTTCTCATTCTGCCAATCACCTGCAAAAAGGATTTTTGATTTTTCTTAACAAAGCCCACTTCCGACTGACTACTAAACAAATAAACGAGAGTGCTTTGCTTACATCTGAAGATAATCCCTGAGTTCCATATTTGTCATCCAAGAACATAGTTCCAATGCGATATATTTGTGGAATGCTCAACATCTATCAAAAACATAATTAACAAATTATATTATACCATATTTTAAAGTTATTTTTATTTACTATGCACACACTAGATTACTTACTGGGCAGAGTTCATTTGTGATCTCATCCGAAGATTTTTGAGCCTTTTGATGCGAAACCTGCATGCATATATTATCAAAACAATCCATTGATTAGTTCAAATCAAATTCACCATTCTGGAACTAAGTCCAAGAAACAAAGAAAGGCCTTTTCGATTTTCTAAAAGGTGTACCAGAAACCCAACAGCTTGTCTTATGTGCCGGAGTTCATCCCATGACGATCCTGCGAACTGTGAAATAAATAACAAGATGTTATAGTAATTTTCTTTCTTTTCTGCATTGCTAATCATACATTGATTGCCTTTTTGCTTACCTGATCTGATGCTTTGAGACACCACTGTTCCAATTCCTGCAAACCAGCCTTTACATACTCTCCATTGCTAAATGAGCAGCACTCACGACGAAGCAATAAGCTGCCAGATCAACCATTTGGATTGAGTATAACATAGATTATGAGAATGCATTGTTAAACACATGAAATAAAAAAAAATAGAAATGAAAAATCTTCTTACCTATTAAAAAGCTGTACATTTATGAATGAGAAAACCTGACTAAAGATTTTCCTTATGAATACAGGAGGGACCTGAAAATTTCAAAAGGTTAGGTGATAAATACTTTCCTTCCCAGTCTCTGTACTGATACTTCAAGTCTGGAAAACCTAGTGGAGAGAAGATTCATTCTTACATGGTTCTCTGTCATTATACCCAAGGTCTGATCTAGCTTATTGACAATGCTTTGCCAATGTATATTTGACGATTGCTGTTTAGCAACAATACTCAAATGGATATTTTTGGATGACCCTCTTATTGATCTAGCTCTTATGGATCTTGGAGCCTGTTCATTTAAGTAAACATGAAATTGCCATTAAATGACTCAACTCTTACTTTGTGTGAATTCACTCTTAACCAATATGCTTACTTGGATGCACAAATTCAAAAATGGACCAATCTCTTTCTTAACACTGTCTCTGATCAGCCCATATATTTTCTCAACGTATGCAGTCAGATGTTGCTTAAACAGCAGTGCTGGGTACTTAGCTTCCACTTTTGATTGATCATTTCCATTTCCCACCATTCCACTGTACCCACTTGACATTCCCATGCCAACTGAAGATGAACGGAATCCCTGATATTGGATGCTCGAGTATTATGATTTTGTCATGGAATTAGATTTACTAAAGAATTAACTTGATAGCACTTACCAGTGCCATTCTACCAAATAAGGTAGCAGGAGATGTTCGGTTACGTTGTGAAGATATTTTGGTTGTATTGCTTGCTTTAAGAGTATTTTGAAGCAGATACAAAAGGGTAGAAGTTGTCGATAGCCAATATGCTAGATCAGTGATGTTGTCTTGACTCTACAATAGCACAATATAGAAAATCAGTATCACAACATTACGAAGTATATGATGCAAAACTGATAGTATTTTAATTTCCTTATATCTGGTTATTGCAGTTCCATTGGTTAAGGATTCCACCTCTATTGATGATCGAATTGTGTGAATAATCCTATCAAATATAGTTGTCTTCTCTGCTTCGAAGGATCTCCACTGAAGAAGTGATTTATACACAACACAGGCGGCAACAGGTCTGGTCTCATCAAACCGCTTATCTTCTGTAAGACACTTGATAAGTACATCATGGTTTTCCTGTCCATAGAGTAGAAATAATAGAATTTCCTTTTCAGCAATTACACAATTGAAGCACAGACACTCTTTTGAAATATTTTCTGGGTTCTGCAAGAATTCAGCATCCAGCTGGGTACCTGCTGCCTGTCTGTTAGGGGTCTTTGTGTAGTTAAGAGGGAGATGGGAGGCCCGGATTCCTGGATGCAAAATTTATCATTAGGTCTAGGGTTAATTTATGGCAGTATCTATTTGCTTCTGGAAATGTGTGTTTAAGGAAGGTGGCTGTACCTTTGTCATTTGAGGCTCTTCTTCTGTTTGATGTCCATTCTCAAAACTCTGAATCATTAAACAAGGTTAATTAAAATTGTAAGATGATTTTATCCAAGGAAAACGACAGTTTTAGAGAAGCATACCTTGACTTGAGGCAGAATCCTTTCAGGAGTCGCTACCTGTTCCACAATTGCTGGTTGTTTGCGGAGCAATTCATTCTCTGACTCCAGCTCTGCAATCTTACTCTTGAGTCTGGATAAAAGGTACAAAGCTTTCAGATTTGTATGAGAATGAGTAGTTTAATCTTTGGGCTTCAGGATTTTTTAGAAACTTCATGGTACATTGACATGTTGCTTACCCATTTCAACTTGGCCATACAAAACCGAATCAATTTCAAGTACCAAATTAGATTTACGGGTATCTCTGCTAAATAATCTACACTCACACACACATGTAAACATCTCTTTTGTCACTCATCAATGGTACTATCAGCCGGACTTTGTTGCATCTCATCATGGATTTTCTCCATTAGCTAATTTTTTATGGGAACAACGCAGAGAGGGTGAAATAGATTAATTTTTCAGGTTTAATTATGTGACTGAGTCTTACATTTTTAATTCTTCAGAGTGATCCTCATTTGTTGATGCATCCAAAGCCTGCTGTCGTAGAACTTGATTCTCTGATTCGAGGTTGGACAAATTTAATTCCAATCTAAAAATCATAAAGTGTTAGTAAACCCCAGCTAAAGATCACAGAATGCTTATGTAAGAAAGCCATGAAAATTACCTTTCAATGGTGTCTTGAAGTTTCATTGTTTTCAGGTGTGATTCTTCGGCCTCTATAGTTCTTGCTTTGCTCTCTTTCTCAAGTTCAGAACACTTATTCTCGAATTCCTCCATCTTCTTCTTCAGCTCACTTAGCTCATTCTATGTATTCATAATATAAATTATATTATCCATCTAGGCAACAGTAGACTCATGTGTGCACTCGTGTGTGCTTGGTATGCATGATGTTGTTGTCAGGCTTGACAATTTACTCTTTTCGAGGGTTTTTGTTCTTTTGGTCCATCAATTTTGACTCCTCAAGTTAATTATTTACAATTTCACATAAAGCTATAACTTTTGTCAAAATTGTCAATTAATGCATCATAATGTAATATACTGATACTGCTGTAGGATGTTAGGTGGTCGAACAGTGTCATACCTCCAATTCATCATTCTGGTTCTTCAGTAACTCCAGCTTGGTGTTATCCACAACTGGCACCTCTTTGATAACCGGTGGAGCTTGTTCTATAGCTAACTTTGCCGCTTCTTTTTCATGGATTATTGCGGCATGGGCTTCATCTAGTTGACCTTGCATCTCATGTAATGAACTTTGCAGTTTTGCAATTTCTTGCCCTTTAGCTTCTTCAAGATCAAGCTACACACACACACACACAAAATGTCATGGGCATAGTCTGGCCAATCGAAGAGGAGCTTAACAAAAAGATTGGACATTGTTAGCAAGTTTCTTTACAACTTTAGATTCTTGGGCATTTTGGGGAGTAACTGACTGTCTAAATAACTGATTGTCAAATCAGCATGTACAAGGAAGCATATAGGATGTGTTCAATATGAAGGTGATAATTTTCCAGCACTGTAAGTGAAACGCCATTTAAATTTGTTGATGAGTAGTGTCCATTTCTAAATATAATTATGCTTTGTTAAACAAAAAACAAATCCATTTCTTTCTTGTTGCATGATCAACTATTACTGTGCTACTAGTTATACTTTTTTTGGAACTTTGATATAAAAGATACCCTCAAGTGCTTTTCAAATTCTAGTCGCCATGTTAGCTCTTCAACTCGCTTCTCTAGCTTATCCTTAGCTTCCTTTAGTGCCCCAGTTTCTCTTGCAGCCTGCATCATTATATTTGTCAGCTCTATTGTGCAAATACCAACTGTAATTATAGTGCAATAGAATTGTTGAATGTCAAGAATTGGTAGAGAACTGCAGTTAAAACTGCTTATAGGTAGTTACACTCACCATTTTGAGCTTTCTAAGCTCCTTCCTAGCTGTCCTTGCTCTCCAAAGACATTGCAATGCTAGAGTTGCGATCTTATGCTGCTTATATGCAGAAAGAGAATGGTATCTTCTCCATCGCGTCTATAAAATTAAAGATTTGATAAGACAGGAAAAATTATTAGTCAGAAATCGTTCATCTGAGCACTCTGGAATTGCTTGTTCTTTTACATGAAGTGGTACAAAAAAAAAATCTATTCATTTGAACCTGAACAAATGCCATTTTTGCTATGTTTATCCGATCTCATGTTTGCTCACATGTTGACATAATATTTTCTTAATTCACAGCTCTTCCTAGAAATCATTTTCATTCCAATCTATTTCTAATCACATTCTCCTTGATTCCCTATGATTTAAAACTTAAGCAAGTAGCCCAGCCATATAGTACATCACCTGAATTACAGTTGCAGCCTTGGTTCTTCTTCTGTATCTGTATTCATTACGTGCTGCCATTGCTCGCATTCCAGTTTGGATAACTTTTGCTGATGCTTGCAAGTTAGTGTAAAATGTTCTTGCTCTATGAGCACAGACATTCTTTTGTATACGGATAGAAGCTGCTTCCTTCCTCATATGTTCATATATCTTACGGGCAAGTTGTGCTACACAAGAGGCAAGACAAAAGAATTATTTTCATCTCAGACTTCTATGTTTTCTAGGCTACGACTTCAAATTGTGGTCTGGCTCATTTTCAGTTAGGATCAAGTCATGACCACTAAACCTGATTTTTCTATAGAAAATCATAAAGAAATTCGACCAAACAACCATAACCATATTACATCTCGATATTGAAAACATTTCATTAACAATCATGGCAATTCCAAAATTAACAAAGTACTTGTTCCTGGTCAATGGAGTTGTCGATGCCTAACTCAAACACAACTATTTTAGAATGGAAGCATTCTGTTAACCAAATATGGCATGCAAAACTATTCAATCACTCTTCATCAGTGCAAGTTACTTCACTCGGTTGGTCTGTTTGCCGTCATGCCTTACGGTGAAAGATGCAATTACTTGGGAAAAGAAAGCTAACCTCTCCAGAGTTTCTGCAAATGAATTGTAGCTCTTCTTAGGGTGATGAACTCTTTTCTGGCCAGATATGTTCGGATTTGTCTCTGGATTCGCCTGACAGCATTAGCCAAAATTTCAGCTCTTCTTGCATCTAACTCAGCCATCTGCCCAGCTCTGAGGAACACCTTTGTTTTCCCAATCTAAACCAGGCATTTAGGGGAAAATGTTACAATAACACAACATATTTTATGAACATGGCTCCTTTTTATTATTGTCATGATTAAACATACCTGATAGCCCTTCAAACCCATCCGGTCCAAGATGGAAACGCACGCTGATTTTTCATCAGATCTGCCCAGAAGAAACAGTGAATGTTATGGTTGGACCAATACGAAGTTCAAGATGATTTAGGTGTTGGAGAATAGTTAGTGAGGAACAGCTGAGTAGATGTTCCAGCTCAGCTGTCACAAACTTCGGTCAGCTCCTGTTAGATAAGATACAATTTCTGCTCAAAATAATTTGTGTAGCTCAACAGGTCAATGCTCTCATTCCAGCCCTGGCTTTGAGACGTTACAATTGCATGATGCGAAATAAAAAGTAACTGCACAAGAATTCATACCCATCTAGAACATCAGGAGCTAGCATTCCAAAACGATCAAGGAACTCATCAAATGTTCTTTTGGTTGGATAACCAGCACAACTTATCCTAATCGCCTCTAGCACTCCCTGTTGTAAAATCCATTAGAATAATCATTATAAATCAGAGCAGCTTGATAAATAGTTTGGAAACAGACATGTTTTGCCTGATCTGAAAAGTGAAAATCAAAGCGACATATGTCCTTGACAAGGAAGCAAGTGAATTTATCTTACCCCACATCTTAGTTGGTTTAAGACATTGAAGTTCTCAAAGATTCCAGGCTTTAGTACTGTATTCGGCTTTACACATCTGATGTAATGTGGTTCTGTTGTGTTCAATGTCTCCATCAAAGCTTGTAATTGTTGCTGTATGTTAATTTTGAGTCAAGAATCAGTCATTGTCTGAATTATTTTCTGTATCATACTGGATGCTGCTTCTGTGTGGATAAAGCTTACCTTGAAGCGGGTACCAATTGAAGGGAACTTGGATTGCTTAGATGTTTCTTCAGGTAGTGGAGGGAAAAGGTTAGCAACAAAAGGACACTTGGAAGCATCTAATAGAGCTTGATGTTCTGCTACAACATAGTCTTTATTTTTGTCAAGAAAATGATCTGCTTGGTATGTAACCTGCTCACAGAATGGCTCAAAGATTAGAAATCCACAAATGTGGTTCCTTTAGCTGGTGTTCAGGAATAAGATTCAAAACATCACTTACATCTCCCGCATAATGATTGATTGTGAAGGCTGTTCGAGCAAGTTTTGGCTTGCTGAAGCGTTTGTGAGCTTTATATGTCTGGTACATCTTTTGTGCAAATGTCTCATGGGTTGACTTGGGAAACATGCTGCATTAGGAAGGTACTCATTCTTACATCCCATGATTTCAACATTTAATTATTTTCCTTTTCCCCTTTTGATTTCTTTTATTATATTCTTTCAACTGCCTAATGATATGTATAGTCGGGTCTAGAGAATTCAAGGATTTATACTTTTTTTCTTTAGGATAAGTATTCAGATGTTTTGTGGTGCTAGTTTTGGTAACTTCGATTACCTCCTATTATGCCAAACAAGTTTCAGAAGAAATGTTTTGCTTTCTTTCGTAACATTCACTTACATTTCTGTAGCCTTTTGCTTTAAGTTTTATTAAATCTCTTACGATCATGTAATCCCCCCACTTCACTTTCCATTAATATTACTTAACTGACATTTAATTCCCTGAGCTATCATGCACACCTTTATGTGTTCGGTATGATTATTTATGTAGAAGGTAAATAATTTCACAGCTAGATTAGTTTATAACTTTTTCAATATGGAAGGGAATCACATACCAGGCTTCATCAAGAAGGGCTATAATACCTCCTGGTTTCTGCAGGCACGGGCATAATAACCATGTGTCAATATTTCATGAATAGAACATGTTACTTTGACATGCAGTACTCTTACCTTCTCAATAAGATCCAAAACATCCTGGTTGTCTACGAATTCTACATAGCTCCAGTTTATCTCCTCCCGCGTATACTCTTCTTGCTCCATCTTGAATACATGCTGTGGATAGAGATTCATGTGTGCATAAAAAAAAGAAAAAATAACACTTATGAAGATGGTTGAAACTCAAAACCATGCATAGGAATCTCAACCCTACCTGGTTAAAATGCTGCTGTAACTTCTCATTTGTTAAGTTGATACAGAGCTGCTCAAAACTACAGTATTCATCACATGATGAGATATTCCTGTTGAAATATTTATTCGAAGATAACTTCATATATAGTTTCATGTACCTGTTGATCTTGAAGCTTTCAAAGCCATAAATATCAAGGACTCCAATTAAGCTTGCTGCGTTAGGATCTTGACCGATTGAACTATTGATCTTGTCTACAATCCTGCAACATTCAGTTGACTCTTCTCTTGTTAATTCCTTATTTACTGGGATCAAGATGATTCCAAATGAACAATTGAGAAACTGAATTGATGTTAGAGAACTGTTATATCGGCTTTGTCCTGCCGATCTATTAGCAGAATCCATATTTGATATCACCAAGGAAACATTATCTAAGTTCAGAATTTGGCTGAAGTACATTGCTGCAAATCATCCTGAACAAATGATAAAATTGATGCTCTTTTGCTACTGTTTGCATTTAGTGTCTAGAATAAATTTCAGGTCTAGATGAATGAGTTTGATTTTCTTACCAGTCAAACAGCTTTGAGTATACGGTCTTGGCCAAGGCATCACGACTTAGGACAGCTAAATCTGGGTCCAGAGGTTTTGTAATGTTACCATCTGGAGTCACTATAACCCGCTTACAAAGTGAGTCTTCCAGTGCCTTCTCATCACACCTAAATCAAAGCATTTTGTGAGATACTGACACGGCATCACTAGATACTATAACAACATCTTTTATTTTGGTGGTCAAACTAAGTCAGAGTGCTAACATCAGTAGCTCTGCTGCTGTTCGAAGATGGTAGAGTGATTTATCATCCTTAAGTTTAGAGGAATCCACTTCCTTCCCTTTCACAAAGTCAATGTTTCCTATATGGAGGATTGCAGCTACTATGCTGAATATAGCATCCTACAGAAGATAAAACCCCCCTTTGTTAATCTGGAACATATATCTCTATGCTAAGTAATCCATTCCTGTAGGGATGGGAAGAGCAAGAACCTGTTCATCCTGGCTGATGCCAACAATATCCATTGCATTTCTGGTCTCCAAATACTCCCTTGCATCATCTACATTTGCAACTTCGTAACAGTTTGTTTGATTTAAATAGTGGAAAGTTCTCGGGTCCCCTAACTTGTATTTCTTGACATCCTGAAAGGGAACATCAGTTAGATAGCTTTTCCTGAATGGCCACGAATTCTTGCTGTTATCAGGAAATCACCTCTGGTGGTGCCGCACAGAGCATGTAAAAACAATGGTAATTTCTCTCTGGGTCAGAGACTTGGCAAACACGTGATCTTTCGAGAAGATAAGTACGAACTGCAGCTCCAGATATTTTCCCATGCTTGTCAAATTGTATCTCAACAAACTTGCCAAATCGACTGATTGACCACGCAATTTTTGTAAGTTTAACACCAAGTTTTAGAAGAAATAGAACGTAGATAGAGCATCTAAGTTTCACCTCGAATTGTTGTTTTTGACAGTTTTTGCATTCCCAAATGCTTCCAATACTGGATTGGACTGAAGTGGAAGTTAATACAAGTCTTCATTCAATTATTTCAGTAGTTGAATCACCTAAAAGGCAATATTTTGTCATATATAGTTTTTAACTTACCTCCAAAACTTGTTGTTCTACTGTTCTTCCTTCACTACCTGCAGATCTCCCCCCCATGAAGGCAAGGTATCTCATAAGCATCTTTGTTGTCTCTGTTTTACCAGCTCCACTCTCTCCACTTACCAAGATGGACTGGCTGCCCTGTTCATTTATCATTGCTCTGATGTTTGAAGTTATCATATTAGCTTGATTTATATATATGTATATATTAAAAATATATTAGTTACAAGACATGTTGAATTCAGCTCATGCATGTTAATTGAACTTAATTTTTGATCTGTTGATATTACCTGTAACAAGTGTCTGCCACAGCGAAAAGGTGTGGACTTAGCTCTCCAAATGCAGCTCCCTTGTACTGCTCCATCATGTGGACGTCATACAGATGTGGTAGTCTTCGGAAAGGATTTACCGCTATTAGAATGTTCCCAGTGTAAGTCTGCTTATTTCAGAACTGATCATCAGTATACTGGTTTGTACATAAATCTATACTCTATAGTCTCAAGACTAATTCCTAAATTATATTCACTTAATCTACGGTGGTGTCAGATGCATCAATTAATGTTGACTCACATATATCTCATTGAGTGCAAACCGGCAAGCAAGGTTATGCAAGACTCCTGGTTCATGGAGGTATGCTAATTTCGTCATGTCATCGACTCCTGCTGGTGGCGCCTCTGTGTCTCTTGGATATATACTTGAAATATCTGCAACTATCTGGAGTTGAGGTAAGAATCAATAAGGAATTCTCATCAATACCAATCAATACTTCGATCTTCATCTATCTAATTAATATGTTGGTGGCTGGTCTCTAAGAACAAATCTCAAACATAATAATGTAGCATAAATCTTGACCGATTATGGAGTCAAGAAAATTCAGTGAATGATAGAGCGGTATTTTGTTTGAGTGATGTAAGCTTTTGCCTCTTCTTCTTATTTGTAACAGATAGCAAGTGTTATAACAGTTGTCTAAATTGTTTCAGAAGAAAATTGCAATTTAAATTTAAACGTCAGCCGATGTTCTGAATATACAAAGCAGAAGTTACAGAGTATATATTTATCCATCTTGTAATTGATTTTTGTTTGTCCACAATATAAATTTCCCCTAGGTATGCCCAGCTACCATGATATAAACAATCAAGTTTCACGATGTGCTGGATCGCTAGCAGAGTCAGATTTTTGCAAGATATTCACTAGGTGTAGTTAGCATTCATGCACGGTCACTAATGGATCTCTTGCCATCCTTTGGATCCTGGATTTCGAAGTTATTTAGTTTTTCTACTATATCAGTACAAAACCCTCTCAATAGAATAGATGGTTTCAAACTCTGAGTACCATATTTACATGATCTGAACTAGTATGGAAGAGATTGGATGATATAGTTAAACAGGAAGCCTCACATTTTTTCCATTCGAGGTAGTAATGGTGGCATCTCGGCCCTTGATTTCTGTAACTTCACCATCCAACCATGCTTCCTCAGGATCCTCAATCCAAACATGCGATCCAACTATGATGTTTACCGGGGTTCCCTGGATACATCATCCAAGACAGAGAACATAATATCGATCATTTCAAGTACTTTGCTAGTAAATCAAAGAGTGGAAAATGAACCAACAAAAAAACCTATGATCGGGAAGCTTACCATATTGAAAAGCTTGTTTATACGATCATCAAATGTTTTTCAGTATCGGAATGATGTAAAGAAGCAGATGGAAAAAATGTAATGGTTTTGAGGGCGAGAGAGAAAAGAAGAAGAAATGTAGTAGCTAGCTAGGTAGGAGAATGGGAATGTCTTTTTAATCAAGGGTGGTCATAGAGCCACTGGGTGTTGGATTAAAGAAGTTGAAAGTATAAAAGAATGTTGAAAAGGAATTCAAAAAGCAGAGGGAGTGCAGGGTGTGGCAACTCAAAAGCAAAAGGAAGCAGCCAGCCAGCCAGCCAGCCAACCACCCAGCCAGCCACCCCTCACCTCCCGCCCCCACTCCATTGCCAACCTTTTTTGCTCATCATACATAGGATGCTGACCTGGCGCCGCTAGAGAAGCCCCCACAATCTCTTCATTAATTGCTTAAGCCATACGTAGTAGCTACAAGCAGAATTTGATTCCCATCATCCCGCAGATACATTATGTTGCGGTGATGGACAAAGTCACGGTACTGTTCCATTGCATGAGCGCGACCTTGATTGTTTCTGCAGAGGGGTCATCTTGTAGTTCTAGTTTAGCAGCATTGTTCAATTAAGTCTGTTGTAAACAGCTTTAGTGACGTTTAGAAGTGCTGTTGAAGTTTAGTGACCTCATATTGCACGCACACACGCATATACATTTATGCATTCAGCCGGATAATGGAATATGTCAAGCTTTCTGTAAAAGTCAACGTCTTGGAAGGAAGAAGGGGACAGTTTGGTGATTCTCATTCATTTGTAAAGAAAGAAACAGGAAAGCTGATTTCAAGAATCCAGTCACAGAAAGACACCTATGTTTTTCTACAATTCAAATCATGGGCGGGTGGACCATAACCATACATGCATCCACTCTCTTTACGCTTGCCAAACACGAGGGCCCCCTGTGGGGTGTGGGGTTTGTCTTTGTGGGGGAAGGCCGGTGGAGAAGATATTCATGCCGGTGCCGGATTTTGGCTATTTCACATGGGGAAAAGGTCCTATGTTGTGGGACCTCAAATACTATATAAAAAAAGCTTTCCAACCATGCTGCTGCTGCTTTTTTTTTTTGCTTTTACTTTTCTTTCTTTATTAACTCGTCATTTTCATAGCCGAGACTTGGGGTGTTCAATCATTATTCTTGTTCGTCAAGGCTATGCTACGAGGGGGCATGGAGAATCACCCCACTTAAAATGAATCCATCGAGGCCAGCTGCTCTTATCCTACTCGGTTGCTTTCTGCTGTCAGAATTCCCCCCCCCCAGGCTGCGGGGATCGAGTCTTTAGAAAAAACTGTGACTCTGTACTGTACTTTACCACTGGCTGTAAGCCGAGTGCTTATGCTGTCCTGACTCCTGGGACAGAAGTTAAGGCTTTGATGTAACTTGGTGATGATGCACATGTGCATGTGGTCTGCTTATTGCTTCTAATCTGCCCGATGCTAGAACATGTTTACTAAGCAGATGTGATGGGACCATCTCAGCTAGATTGGACATTTGTGAGTGTTTTCGATACAATTTATGTACAATATTAATGGCTACCTTACAAAATTAATCATATAGAAAATCAAAAGTAATTACATAGAAAATCAAAAACCTAAATCTCAACGCCTCAAAAAGGATACATTACTGTGTAAAAACCCTTTAACATCCGATTGATTTCTTTTTTTATTTTATTTTATTGGTAACTTATTTTTTTATTGGTAATTTAGGATATTCAGACTCGTTTAAAAGGTCTAAATATTCTGATTACTGTGTAAAAACCCTTTAACATCCTATTGATTTCTTTTTTTATTTTATTTTATTGGTAACTTATTTTTTTTATTGGTAATTTAGGATATTAGGCTCGTTTAAAAGGTCTAAACATTTTGCAAATTCAATAAATAAATAAAATATCACAAAAATAATAAATATACACATAAAAAATCAAATTTGAGTGTTAAAGAAAGGAAACAAGTCCTTCCATAATCACTAGCCTACGATCTCAAATGCCAATTAATTTTCTTTTTGATTGAGGATTAGGAGTTCCTACTTTTTTATTTTATTTTATTTTATTTTATAATTGCTTTTAACCTCAGTTAGCCAAGGTTTTTTATACACTGTTAAGAATAAATATAATATATAATTAATTTACAAATAATAAATTTAAATTTAAAAAATAATAGTTAAACATATAATAACTCATAGTATATTTAACTTTAATAGACAATTTAGATTCATATATGAATTTAAAAATATCTTTATTGTGATAATTTAGTAATTTTCTGATTAACTTAACACTATCTTAAAAATATTTGATATATTAATTATAAAAATTTTTAATTTAAACAAATCATTTATTGGAGTGAGATTTTTAGATCTTCGAGTACTCATCATCATTTTAATTCAAAATCATATCATTTAAATTCAATTTATATTCTTTTTGATTATTTAGTTTAGATTGTGAATCGTCATTCCTGAAATTCAAATTTATATCTACAAAATCTTAATCTAGGGTTTGAATTTCTTTTTGATACTCCTGGCTCAAAAAAAAAAGAAAAAAGACATTGTTCTTTCATGGAAAAAATAATATCCATTTTGATAAATATTTATTCATGGTAACATCTATATCTCTTTTGACTGTATGATTTTAGAAACAATTAGAATAGAAGGAAAAAGAACTATGAGGTTGAAGTATTATTGACAATAGATATAAAGTTTTTTGAGGATAACATGTAAAAATTGATGTTTTGGGATTTCATTATTGTGATACTAATTCTATCTTTCACTGAGAGAAAACTTTTTTATATTAATAATAGTTAAGTTATTTGCTATACTTGGCACATTGCTGCATCATATTCTCCCTCTTTGAATCTG